GAGAGCAGTAGCGTTAGCAAAGAATAAGGTGGCAACTAGTGGTGTTTATTTTGCCCCTTACACGATTTATTACATCCCTTTATTGTATACCGGGAAATCCAATAATATCATGGAATAAATTCTTTGCCGTTTAAAATGTGTTGTTCCATTAAGCATAAAATTGTTAAAAATACTACATTACAACCCAAATAATATAATATTTAGTTAAACAATACGTATATTTGATTTCAATAAATATGTTGCTTTCAAAATTCTTATGAACGAGCTATTGTACTTCAAACGGCTTATCGAGACATTAATTGTTAAATGACATAAAAGATAAACAAAGTGCTAAATTGGATTGGATGCTCGTGAACTGTATAATGAAGGGGTCATTCGTCAATAAAATTTTAGTAAATAATTCTATGGGAGTCCAAAGACATTAGAATCAACATTAGTTGATAAACTAGCTATATAACACGAAAATTCTCTTTAATATTGATATCATTATCACAAAGTTTTTATTACATAAGATATACATGTATCGCTTTCTGTACGTATTTTTGTATGACTATTTTTTTTTTTTTTTTTAGCAGTGATTTTATTAAGTAGTATAGATCATAAAAAGTATCGAACATTTTTCGTATACGTGATTACAGGGCTTTTTTTTATAAAAGATTTTGGATGAATTATTATCGATTCAGTGATAAATTTAAAATTATGCATGTATTTAATATTAAGTTATAATAAATACCTTTTGATGCTTGTCACCTGCTGTAGAGCAGTTTAAAACTAAAAAATTGTTGGTAATATTCAGAGTATTACAATAAATTTAAAGTAAGTTTTAATAAGGAAAATTCAACAATTCACAGTAGCCATAATACTTTTCTACGTGTGTCTACTTATCAACGAGTGCACAAGTTATACCAGTGAGCGATTGAGCCAACAAGTCATTCGTTCATCATTTATAGTATTTATTTCAGAGATTAAAAGTCTTCTGGCTTTTTATTCAGTCTCAGTTATCTAATGTTATTTTGCACATTTATATCATTGATATTTAAATACACAATGTAAAATTTTAATGTAATAATTAAACAAAGTCATCTTATCTACTAGCTATATTTTAGTTAGTTGAAACCCATCAGCCTCATGTCTCTTGAAAGTTAATAAATCACATCTCTATCCCACTTCGACTGTGCCTTCTCCCAGAGTACAAGAATCACCGAGCGTCTGTTTGCCAGAGCGCAATATGATACAATAAATCAGTAATCATATGTGTAGTAGCAGCAACAGCAATAGCAGATATAGTGTCTCCATGTGAGTGTACATGCATATGTATACACACAGCATCTCTGTCAACGCTGCTCTTTATCACGTCCATACATTTTTATAGCACAACGAGTCATGCGAAATCTGTGCAGGGGCGTATGTCGTACCACACTTTTCTTTCCTTTCTTTTTTTTCTAGAAAAAGGAAATGCATACTAGGGGTAAGTGTACCTATCTCCGTGCTCTGCCCTATTACCGTGGATTTTGAAAAACTGATGATTACTTGCTCAAAATAAGAAATGTTTCATATAAAATAATTTTTCAATTTTAATAATCTAAAATGACTTTTATGTAGATGCAATTCAAACAGAAATATTTGTGTATATTTTGAGTAAATAATTATTTTCCACGGTATTCGGTACAACGCGCTCATTAACTGATTGTGTACGTATTTCCGCGGTGAGCGTACGTAAACATAACCCTATACATCCGCGGTAATACGTACACGGTAATAGGTACACAACCACGGTAATACCAGCATACCGTTTTTATTCGTTTTAAAAATATTCTACTGCAGTTTTAGCTTCATAAAATTTTTTTAAATATTCCGTAAGAGATTATGTAAGATTTCAAAAAAAAAAATATTCCAAAAAATTTTAGTATACCATTTTTTATGGTGCATTTAAGTTGGAATTTTCAGTACGTGCCACGGAGATAGGTACACTTACCCCTATACACGCAGAAAAGAATTACAAGAATTTTTACCGTAAAAGCAACGTAATCCTGTGATAATTTGTCATCACGTAAATTTTCACCGTAGATGTTCATGAATTTTTACCGCGGTTTACAGTAATTTTTATGGTAACTGTAAAATTTATCCAATATTCACTATAATTTTTACTGTACGGCAACGGTAAAATTTCCCCTGAAAGTGCATATAGCTATAGGCAAGGGCTGACCAGATGTCTACTGTAGTGGGCTATATACCTAACCCGTACGAGAGAACGAGATAGACGTAACATCTGTATTACCGAAATCAACGTATAAATGAAAGTAGGCGTATCTTTTATGAATGGATATAAGCGAAGGAGTACTGCATCATGTGTCCAACAATTCGTTAAGTACCAATTCTATTAATGCAAATATTCGCACAGGTCTACAATTTGTAGGTTAGTCTGCGCTTTAGCAGACGACTGATCAGGTGCTCGGCCTTCCCCTCCAGCCCACGTGACCCTGCAGCCTATAGCTATATATACTCTTTCAGGAAAAATTTTACCGCTGCCGTACAGTAAAAATTATAGTGAATTTGAAATAAATTTTACAGTTACCATAAAAATTACTGTCAACTACGGTAAAAATTCATAAACACCTACGGTAAAAATTTACGTAATGACAAATTATCACAGGATTACCGTTGCTTTTAGGGTAAAAATTCCTGTGATACTTTTCTGCGTGTACATCCTCCTATGTATCTTTTTTTGTGATTTTTTTTTGGGATTTGATGCTCACGTGCCCCACTTGAATGCCCATATGAATACGCGTAGCGGGTAGTCATGTATTGGTTTTAAGCTAAATGTGGTGTAAAAAATTTATTTCTACCTTTGAACTTATACCATATACAAAACAGCTACATAGTAATTCACCACCTTTCGAGTTCACCAAAATTGAAATATCCAAAATTAGTTGCTTGCGTGAGAGAGAGAGAATTTTCCAAGGGAATCCTGAATTTTTCATGTTTTGGTCTCACAACTTAAACAGCTTCTAAGTCTTGGATAAAATTTTTTTTCGGTTCTCCATAGTAATTAAAAACTTTGTTTATGTTAATAACTTTAAAATCCCATTCCGTAGAAGAATTAAAATACCCGTATTTTGCTTTTAGCATCATCAAAACTGTAAATTTTTCAGTGAGACACAAGCCTGTAATACTAACTTAGTCCATTTTTTGCATCTTAAACTAGAAAAAAACTTTTTGATAATATGAATTTTGTTATGCCTTCAGCGAAAAACATCCCTTGCAAATTAGACAAGTATTTCAGATCGTATACAACTAAATGTATGTATATATATATAAATATATATGTTAGGTATATACATATATATATATACACCTAAAGCGTAGAGTTAAAATATTAACTTCAATGGATGGAGGCATTAGCTCTTTTTTTAATTTTACCTTAATTCTATCAGTATGTAAATAAATAACCATTGTGGCGATGTAAATGCGGCTGAAGTTACTTAAGGCTTATTGAAAGCGACATTAATGCACTTCACATGGGATTTAAAGGGTCTCTTCTTTTCTTGGTCGCTTCTAATAGTATCATCTAACTGAGGATGCCCTAATCGTGACTTTTGGTTCTATAGTAATTGGTAGTAAATAATAATTCGTTCAGTAGTATTATACACCATAATTTCTATCTTGTAAAATTTTCTAAAAAATGTCACTGGGGTGTACAGTCAGTGAAACTTCGATCTGTCCCGGACCTTATTGCGGAACTATGGCGTGAGGTACAGTTCTATAGTAGGGTTTTGGAGAGATCAAAGTTCCACTGAATGTACACTGCGTGTGTAATACAATCGTTTTCATAAAACTAAGCAATATTCTCAATGGAGGCCAAAAAATGTTTTATACCATTTTCAGCTCAAACTTAGATAAGTAATATTATAATTAATTCCCTTACCAAATTACTACTTTTGTGAATGATTTTAGGGGTAAAAACTTGGGTGAAACTTTCTTAGAACTCAATGACTGTGTTTTTTGTAATGAAGATTGTGTTGTACTCTCAACTCTGACATCAGAAAAAATTTTCTTATACTTTTCATGAAAAAAAAAAGTAATTATTATATGCAACACAAAGCAAAGTACATTAAATTCTAAAAGCTTATACCAAATCACTTTCTGAAAGGAAAGTCATCATCTCCTCCCTAGTGGTATAATTTACAATTTCACTGTATTTTGTTAAAAAATATTAAGTAATTTTCTAGCTTTGACGTGATAAAAAAATTACTCTGAATGATGTTCAATGAAACGCCAAAAATCAACGTATGCCCAGAGGGAAACAAATGATAAAATAAGGATATGATCTGAAAAAACTCTTAAGGTAGTTGGTGCGAATGTTTATATGTATACCTGATCAAATTAATGTTTATTGAGTAATTTGCTACATAAATTATTCATAATTTACATAATTTCTCATCGAAACAGCATAAAAAATTTATAAATCACATAGATCTCGAGAAATATTTTAAAATTCTGATAAAGTTCAAAAAGTTTAGGAAAATTTTAACACTACATAGATATACTGAAAGCATTGCAAGACACAAAAATTCAAATATTTAAATGACGGCACGGCTAATTAATCTAAAATTTTAATATGTTACATCTACAAGTATCTGTAGTAGCACATTCATTGTTTGACAAAATCTGTTGAGCGGTTTTTTTACATTTGATTTTAATGTCTGTTTTTGACGGGGTTAGTCTACACTTCCAATGGTAAAGAGTCCAACTTTGAAGTTTTGTATCTCAAAAAGGGCACACGCAATATTTTTAAAATATTAACGAACGATGTACTTATAGCGATGTAAAGAAGCGATCCTCAAAGTTTAAAGAAAATTTGTTGTGAGTCGATTTTTGGACCAACTACCTTAATAACTTTTTTTACGGTACATAATACACTATTGTAAAAATTGAATGATAACAAGCTTATATCTGTTATGCGACTTTGTTTTACTCATGATTTTTTTTCTATGTTACAGATTGGATGAAAAATGGAAGATCATTTGATGCAGATAATCCATTCAAGGTAGTTAAAAAATTCTATTAACGTTAACCTACTAATTATTTTTACTTTGCTTTTATAGCATTTAAAATTGATTTAACTGGGCTTGAAAATAATTTTTGAGATGAATTTTTAATTATTCTGTACTACGACATTATTTAAGGTCAGCAAAAAAACCTTCGCAAAGCAACTAGGAAATAATGTTTGTCTTTGTTAGGAAACATCAGTTTCTTGTTTTTTTTTCAGTTGTAAGAACAAATTATTAATCAATACTTCCTACTTTTTTAGTCAGGTTATTTTTTTTTTGATACCAAAAACTATGGCTTCTCTCAAGATTATAATGATGTACGTAGTGCGTGAGAAATTCCACAGAAAAACTTCAAATACAGATAACCATTTCATAAGATCATCTTTCTTTCTAAGCTTTGCACTTAGATCTAAGGACTCTTTCTAAAAATTCATAAATGCTATAAAATTAATAAAAAAAAGCTTTTTCTTAAGACCCTGCCCTAGGGCCCAAAGTGATTCACTAGGCACAAAGTGTGCCCACGGGCGCAAAATTGCACTTTCCACCCACAGAAAGAAAAACAATATACGCAACTCGGGCACAAACATACAACTACGGTGCCCTTCGGGCTCTCATTTGTTTGTACTTTGTGCTCTAGCAACGTAATTTACCTGTTGAGGATAATTAAGCATGCATGGGCGCGTATGTCGCTCGGCGATGATTGGTGTAAGTGCTTCGATCTGTGTATGTATGTGTGCTTGAGGGAGACTGGAGAGTCGCATTGGCGATGTATTCAGTTCGTCCCCGATCGATGAGTAGACGAGAGGTAGAACTCGTTCTACGCATGAACTCATGCCAATCCATCTATACATATATATACACTTCGTAGTACCCATAAAACCGTGACTCACACAAGAAAGGTGTAAGAATTATTATGTGCTTATATTGTTAAAGTGTTCAAATGAACATTACAAGATATAAAACCGTTGTATAAAACCCTCGTCGACACTCCTCGTATACTATACAGGTCAAACGACCTGCAAACCTTACCTAATGTTACTGTAGTCAAGCCCGGGTACCGGGTGCTTCGCTGGCTTATAACTCAAGGCCACGAATGTCCCTGATACGTAGAGTAGCTAGATAATAAATGACAGGTATACGACCGGGACCATGTGATTCTTAAATCTGAAGATACACACATATACATACATTAATAATGAAAGATTCTCAATATTATTAATAAAAGAAAGGTATGTAAAATCCAAAGTATTAATTGAACAATAACAAATCGTGTGTGTGTCTGTAATTAACAGTAGAGTACGTTATAATAAATCTCAGTGGTGAGACCGCTGTCCCCAATTTATTTATAACTACAATCGGCGTACAACTTCCGCGTCCTACGCAACAGGCAGACCTCGCGAACTAGTACATAAACTTTGCACAATTAATGAAAAGCGGACTTACTTTATTTCCCGACGGCTACAGAGAGTGAAGTCAAGGTCGAAAGATGCATCCTAGAGATGTGAGAACTGGTGGGCGTCCCCACCAGCCAAGTATTCTTTCGGAATAGGTTGGTAGCGCTAACCCCCGGGTGACTCAATACCCAACACCGGCAACGCTTATCCTCGATGTTTGGGTTCCTGGTGACACATCCATCTAGGCCCCTAACCTCTTCGCGCCTTTTACCGCTTCCTAACTCTCTTCGCACGTCTGGATCGCTCGCAATCCCAAGCTGGTCTGCCTTGACTCGCTCGAGGAATGTACAAAAAATATCGATATTTTGAACCGATATCTAAGGTTCCGATACATCGGTACATCGATATTAAAAAGGTAGATATCGGTACAATATCGATTAAAAGTTAAATGAGCACATATTTAAAATGCGGGCGAGCACCAGTGTTTTAGAAACACCAGCCAAACTCAGAATTAGCAAATCTTGCTATAAAGTACATTAATATTATCGCAACGTCTGTTCCATCAGAAAGACTTTTTTCAAAAGCGGGCTTAATTTTAAAAGATAATAGAAACAATCTGACACCCCAACATTTCCAACAATTATATTTGTTGAATAAAATACTCACACAACTTATTACATCACTTCTTCCTAATATTAAAAAAAATGTTTACTGAAAATTCATCGATATTGTAGATATCGATATTTTTTGAGCCATATTTTTTGATATCGATATCTTAAGTTACGATAATATAGATTTTCAAATATCGATATTTTTTCAGATATCGCGCATCCCTAGACTCGCTCCGCTCTCTGTTGCTTCGCTCCTCTCCCGTCTCCCCTTCCCGCTCCCACGAACGCCTCGCTGCTGCGCCGTGACATCCCCTTCCTAGACGTTTGATCAGAGATCTCTGGTTTGATATTTGCTATACAACTCTACGACCTAGGGTTCACGGGTACTACGTTCACCTGGCTGGATGAGGAAATTGAAGCCCAATGATCTAGTAAATCGTTTGTTTATTCGGAGATATATATAAAAAAATTACACCCTCTAAATAAGGAGTAAGAGAGAGAGAGAGTACATAATACAGAAAACACAAAGAGGATATATTCCAGATGCCCACCAGGTGAACGCTTACATACATTACTCGCTTTCGTGGCCTTCCGGGACCTCATCGCGGGTGATCGGTCGCGTCGTTAGGTCTGTTCCGTGGCTCTAATATGACAGACGTTTTCGGCGGTCGTCCTCGCTTGCGCTTACTTGGCCCGTTGGCCTTTGTCGCTACACGCTTGATTGGTCCGCAGGTATTCGCCGTGATACCCTTGCTAGCACTTGCAGAATCCCCTATCATCTGATCAGCCTCGTCTCTCTGCGTTGATGGTATGTCAGCTGCCTCTTCGACTGGAGACACCGGAAGTTCATCCTCGGGTCTTTCATGGTATGGCTTTAGTTGAGTTATTGAGGCTGGTCCCCATTTCAAGCCTCCTTCGCCCTCGAGCTCATAAATATTGGAACCTAGCGCTCAGGTAATTATATAAGGACCTCGGAACCGCGGCGCAAACTTCGCCGAGATACCTTGGGCCGCGGACGATAAGGGATGAGCTCGTTGCCACACTCGGTCGCCGAAAGCATACTTTCCTTCGCGCCGTCTGGAATTGTAGTAATATGCTGATCGCTCCTGTTCTCGTCTCATATTACTCGCGGTCTTCTGATGGTCTTGAGGTAGACGGTGAACACGGCGGTGCCACTCCTCTGTAGCCTCTACTTCCAGCTGTTGTTGGGCGTTGCGATTAACCTGTAGTTTAAGAGTATTCGGCGTGGGAAGCTCGCGCCCATAATTCAGTAAGGCGGGGGTATAGCCAGTAGAGGCGTGTCTTTCGGTATTATACGCTGAAGGTATGTTTCGCCAACTTTTCATCCCAACGCTTATGATAGGAATCTACGTACGCACGGATGGTGTGATTTAGACGCTTAGTGGCGACGATGGGTTAGCTTGGGGATGGTACATCATAGTAAATATGTGGCGTATACCCATACCTTCAAGGAACCTGTCCAGCTCTTGGTTCCGAAATTCGGTACCATTATCCGTTAGTATGGTCGCCGGAGTGCCGTGGCGATAAATGACGCATTCTTGAATCGCGCCTACTATTGATTTGGCGTTGGCCTGCCGTAGCGGTATTACCTCTGCTCAAATTGAGAGCTCGTGTGTGGTACTCTGCACTTATAATATGTAAAAGTTCGTGTAATAAGTTATCCAAAAAAAATTTTTTAACCTATCACAGTGCTGTGTATCACCAACAAATATAAAGGGCAATAATGCGGATGACACAAAAAGGTTATGGGTATATATACATGTGTATATACGCCTGTGTCTCTCTGTGTGTGGTTGTCGACTGCAGCCGCTGTGCTGACGACGGCAACGACTGTACGCACTGTACTCTTTGCTTTTTGTAACTAAAGTAAAGACGTACTAGAGTTACTATCAGCCAATTATTAAATTTTTCATGAATAACTTATTGCACTAACTTTCACATATTAAAAGTGCAGAGTGCCACGAGCTCTCAATTAGTTGCAATAAATATTTATGTCACCAAGTCCGTATGTATCACAGCACAACAATTGGCTCTCAACACGTTCAGGTCTTGGGAAAAATTCGCTGGAGCGCTGCTGGTCTTCATTCTCACAGCGAAAGTTAACATACTTTTTAACTTGTGAAAATTTTTCATTAAAATTATTGCAAACAAACAAAAATTTCTACCTTGGAGCGTTTTTTATAGCATTTAAAATTTGGATGTGTCTCGAATGATTTGAGACTTTTCTGGTCTTGTGTCGTAATATGCATTTTTTCAAATCGAACCTAAAAAATTTTCCTACCTTAGGGTTTTTCTAACTGTAAATGCTTACTATGCGGTCTTTAAAATAAACAATTGATTATTGCACATTAAATCTGGATAAAACTGCGACAGTACGTTACTCACGTTGAAAAAATTGATAGAAATCACCACATACAGCATTAGGGAATGATTATCCTTGTATCATATGAGGTTAGCCATAGCAACTTACTTTGTATACTTGGTTATAGTACAACGCCTTTCAAAACTAACACGATAATATATAAATAGTAACATGTAAATCGAGAGTTAGTTATCCTAACTCAAAAATAGTCCTAGAAAAGTCGAGTATGACACAGTAAGAAATATTTTCACTCTTTACAAAAACTTACCAGATGAACAAAATCGAGGCTCTTGACCTTTACTAGGATTAAATAAGTATAGAACAAACGTAATTAGTATGAATATGGGTTTCGGTTATTATGATTTTTCTTTGAATGAAATATCAGAAAGTATAAATAAAAATAATGTATACGAATGAATGATAAGGTCGAACGTAAAATATATGTAGTATTCAATTATGATACTTAAGTAAAGCATTTAGCACGCATGCTACTAAAAAAAATGTAATACAAAAGAATCCGAATTCAGATATTTTTCATATACTACGAAATTTATGCAGGATACTTATAACTATATACGTATTAAATTATTGATCAATCAATATTAAAT